TAAAATTTCAGCATCGTCATCTAGTTCTGCCAGCATCCTTCTCTTCGATGCCCTCATCAGTCGTTTGTTTTTCTCTGCGTCGAAAGAGTTGTTTGTTACGATGGGTCCGACGACTATATGTAAGTCTTCGATATTCACCACAATTGGTTGATTCCAAAGCGAAGTCCATGGTATTTGTACCTTTATTTTTCCTATGGTTCCTGCCAGTACTTCGATCGGTAAATTTAATTCGAACTGAAAATATATTTTTCATCGATGAAAGGCTGTCGTTTTTCAAGTCTATGAAAGTTGCCATGACATTGCGAACCTACGATTTTGTAAGTACGTAGAAGATACCCGATATAAATCTTACAACCATCCCAACTAATGCCACACAGAAAGCTGAACTGAGACCATCAGGCCTGCGCAACGCCTTCCATGAAGGCGTTGCAGAGGCCTGATGGTTGAAAGGTTGAAAAGCTGAAATTACTTTCATTTGGCCGGAACGACCACTGATAATCTGAACTCCGCGTTAAACCGCGTCTGCTGTTGCTATTTTCAGGAAGGTATGACTATACTGAGTCTGCTCCTCTACTTGTACAGGGACGTAAATACTAGAACAGAGCAGAGTTGCCAACCGTAGCGGAATTCCGCTACTGTGGCGGAATTTACTCGACGGTAGCGGCGTAGCAGATTTTTACATAAAGTAGCGGAATTTTCTACAAATAAATAATATTGAAAAAAATGGAAGAAGAGGCAGTGGACAGCACTCGAAGCTGACAGTTGACATTTGAATAATTGAATGCACGGTCAATACGTTAAAATCTTAGTAGCTGAGATCATCACATGATGATCGAGAAGAAGAATATTTTTGAATATTTTCATTCATATCATGAACCATGTAACCTCCAATATCATGGAACTAAAAATCTCGACTGTCTCGAGAATTATAAATTATATGGAACCAATTACAGTGGAAATGAAAGATAGTTCATCTGATTGTAGCTCGTACGAAAGAGCTACCACAGTTGAAATTGACGAAAACGAGACATGTTCAAAAAAATACTGAAAGTCTCACAAAAAAACTTCTTCTCATCATTGGTTGTCTGATTCCAACTTGAAAGGACCTAATTCCAAATACTAGTGACAGTTAGTTTCGTGATATCTGACCTGACACAAACTACAAACTATAAGTTCTGTGGTGTTTAATTTTTGATAGGGCGCATGCGCGAACTGATTCCGTTAGATACACAAGCGTAGCGGAATATGAAGCAGTGTAGGGGAATTTTGGTTCATGTGTAGCGACTTTATAGTTCATCCAGTTGGCAACACTGGAACAGAGCCCGTGGACCCACAGTCAGTCGACGCTTGGGAGAAGGCAGATTGAGACCCCGGCGTTGTAATTTTGAACTCACGCGAAATACGCGACTTCAGAACGAAAAAAATAACTTGAAGACAGAAGAAATAACTCAACAAAATATAATGTCATTACTCACCAGTGCTTCCGGTTTCAGTTTCAAGTCAGTTAACTGGACCTGACCCGAGAAAAT